CACCCCAGCTGCTCTGCCCCAGGCGTCCCCAAGTCAGCCGCTGCTGAAACTGACCAGGGGCTGACTACAGGAAGCCCCTGCCCCGGGCTTCCTGGAATCAGCCTCTGATTAGTTTCAGCAGCGGCTGAATCTGGACGCCAGTTCTGACTTACATACAGATTCAACTTAAGAACAAACCTACAGTCCCTATCTTGTACGTAACCCAGGGACTGCTTGTATAGGCGTAAGAGAGAAATTAAAATTATGAAATGCACAGACCAGTGAGAAACAAAAACTAACCCACTTTGCAAGCAGTAAAAGAAGTAACAACAACCCTCCATGTATGTGTTGGGTTGATAGATGAGAGTGAAGGACAGAGTCTGTTTGTGAGAACGACAGACCCACACACGGTGTGAGAAACTGACAGACTTGCATTGACAAGCTCCCTCCATCCCCTTCTCTCTGTGTGGAGATCAGGTACAGGAGTGGGGGAGGAGGGACACCCTGACATCAGCACTTCCCCATTTTCCCTCCCCCACACCTTGCACAGCAAGCAGGAGGCTCTGGGGAGGGGGGATGGGACAGCTCTAAGACGGAAAGTAGGGACAGCATGACAGAGGGTGGAGGGGCAACTGAAGTGCTAGCGCTTGATAGCTTCCTGGCCAAACCAGTCAAAATCATCTGTCAGAGGCTCCAAGTTTGGATCTACTGGTTGGGTGACCACTGCCTTAAGGAAAGGATAACTAGAAAAAGTCCAGTTCTCTAGAGCTCTGGTTTCAATACCTCATGTAGTCACTATATTTTATCCTGAGGGAGTTGGGGGATTTATCATTTGTCTTTAATATGATACAATGAGCTATAATTTTCCAGTATGGTGTAGTAAAAGCTAGGGTTCTTCAGTTTACAAGGTATTTTACATATTAGCAAATTTAAAGATGTCAAAGAATAAGACTTGTTTGCAGTACTGATGTAGCTGTTTTGCTCCCATATATTGGAGAGACAGGGTGGGTGAGGTAATATCTTTTATTGGGCAAAGTTTTTGAGCTTATTTCTTCCAACAACATAATGTCTGCATAAAATAAGAGTACAGAGAAACAATAGATCTCGTTTGCATAAAACAAAACAAAGAAGAGCATCAAAATGATATAACGATAAACAGATGAGGTGAAACAATAAAATTAAATGAAGGTGTGTTAAGGAATGTGATCATAAGGTCTACTAATACTTTGAAACTAACAATATAGTTGAAGAAAGGGATTATTCACAGTTCTAGAAGATGGTAAGACAAGAAGCAAAGGTCAGAAGCTAGAGCAAAAAATGTTTAACCTAGATATTAGGAAAATGTTCCTCACTATGAACGCAACTGAGCAATGTAATAGACTACTAAGAGAGGTGATAGAGCCACAATTGCTATCTCCCACCTATTATATGCCAATTCCTTGCTGAATGTCAGTAAAAAATGCCTTCTAAAAATCCACCTGTACTGTGATCCATTCATGATATAACGCTGTAATGTAACTCCATGTTTTCTTGTTTTGTGTTTGTTTTGCTTTTAGATGGTAAGCTACTTGAAATAGGGAGTGTTCTTATTTAGTACATGTCACTGTCCAATGCCATGTACTGCAGTGTTATGTAAGTAATTAAAAATGGGCTAGAGATTGATGAGAATGGAAAAAGGGTAGTTCTCTAAAATATGAGATTTTTCTGATTTTAAGTGATTTTTCTGGACTTATTCATGTGTGTAATAATAATATACCATGATGAACCTGCTGGGTTATTGCGGGGCACTCTGTGAATCTCCAGGTAAGCATCCGGCAAGTAAAGAACTCTGTAATGTGTGAGTTACAGGAAATGGAAGTGCAACCTTAGGTCAGAGGTACCACCTCAGGCAAGAACTAAAGCTTATACAGGAGCAGCTTTTGAATAAAAGCATTTTGGTTGTTAACACTCCTTAGGTCTGCCTGTGATCTGCACTCCAGTCAATATCAAGGCATGGATCCACTTTAGTACCATTCTAGTAACTGTGCAGACTATTTCTACGGCTGGAGAGAGACAGCATAAGACACTGTGAAAGGCATTTTGACAGCAGCGTGTCACCCGAGAAGGTGATTATGAGGCGATCATGCAGGTTTAAAACAGCTGTCGTTGGATGGAGTCAACTTTTTTAAGAGCTGTGAGATCCCCTTTTGCTAGCTGGCAGTTCTGGAGCATATCTTGAAGCACAGACTCCACAAGCACAGAATGATGGGACTGGATTGTCAGGTAGACCTGAAGTAACCAGCAGTGGTTCAAAAATTTCTGCATGAGAAAGGACATCTTTATGGAACTGTGTCAAGAGCTTGAGCATCAGGATAAGGTGATGAAGGTCATACCAGTCCAGAAGTGGGTTGCTATTGCAATCTGGAAGATGGCTACTCAAGAATGATACAGGTCAGTGTTTAACCAGCTTGTTGGCAAGCCACTTGTTCCTGAGTAATTGCACAGGTCTGTTCCACACTAGGGTGGGTGAGCCCATTGCACCAAAGTCAGTTTTTTTCCTTAACAGTGTCCATCACGGTGGTACAAGTGTTCTCTTCACACTTGTAACCAACAGTATAAAGGGTAGAGCTGCCCCCAAACCCCTTCAGTTCCTTCTTACCACCCATAGTTGATAGGCAGAGTGTGTCTGTATCTTGTCACATAACTTTTCTTTCTGAGATAAATTCTCCTTTTTTCAAACATAGTCCTACACAAGGGGCTGGCCTTGAGGAGAAGCTGGCAGGCAGGGTGCACAGCCATTCCTGGGCCCGATAACAAGCCAGTGGGTGAGGTATGTGGCCCTTGGCTGGCCCCAGGGGGATGACTGACTT